TAACGGTAAGAAAATTTCTAGAAATGGGAAAAAAATGCCCTCCAAACAGGGGCTAATATTAGTATCTACTTTCAGGTGTATTTGTGTAATATTATTTTAAATATTAAAAAATTTAATTATAGTACAGAACCGAATGGAACCGAACCGAACCCGAACGGGTCCAAAATTATACCGAAAATTTCTGGAACCGAAAAAAATCGAACCGAACCGACCCGCGCCCACCCCTAATTTTGAGTATGCAATGTTTGTTGGGTAAAAAACTTGAAACTTCAGGCCTTATTCCAATTCAGTCACTCAATTCACTTTGTTTAATAAGGTTGCAAACTTTAACTGCCAACTTATTGATATGATAATAGACATTACTTACGGTTCTCTCCAAATGTGAGAACACAATTATTTTCAAGTAGGCAAGATAAAACTTCTGTTGGATTTTGAAACCCAATGAATTTCGGACAATGACGTAAACGTTGGATTAAATTATTACAAACAACCAAGTCTAAAGGCACAACCCAAAAGTAACCTAAACAATTTATATTCTCATGACCCCATATATATTACATCTTGATAACTTTGAATTTTAACTCATTTAGCCTCTTTTATTGGTCCAGCTAAAGCCTAACCTAACCTATATATATGGCGTATTTGTCCTAACCGTTTTGTGGATGATTTGTGTGTGAAAGGAGAAAACACGAATGCCATATTGAGAGAGAAAATGTGTGTGCACTGTGGAGAGAAAAATCCGACTGCCATTACTTCCAAAAATCGACACTTGCTTCCTTCATCTTTGGTCTCCATTTTGTATCTCTTTCACTAGTTTTTCTTCTTGCCTTTGTGGCTACAAATCATCTCCATTATCTTATCCTTTGCGAATGAGATTGAGGAGTAACCGAGGTAAATATATTGGTTGTGGGTTGGAGTTGTTTAGATTGGTTGTTTGGCAGAGAAAGATAACGTGAAACTGAGCCCAAAAAACACAATGTTGGTGATCCTTGGAGCAAGTTTTCGCGATAATTGGTATCAGAGCTTCAAAGTGGTAGATTTAGTTCAAAAAACTGACCAAAAACCAATCATAAAAGCAGCAGAAAAATGATCGAAAAACTGTCAGAAAATCTGACTTGTTTTCATGATTTCCAGGAAATCTAGACACCTGGTGAACAACCGGAGACCATTGCGTGACGTACAGGCGGAGGAGGTCCCGGAGGTCAAGCACGTGTCACCAACGACGATGTATGATAGTGGTGCGTGGTGACCACGCGTAGAGGCTATGAACGGCTCGTGAGAGCGTGTGGAGTACGTTCCGGTGACAATGTCTTCAGGCAGTTTGTTCCTGATATTTTCCTTGGCATTTTAGTGTTTTTAGTTTTCTATTTCAGGCTATACAGCGAAGTCCGAACAATTGTGTTCTTCGCATGTTCGAGATTCGATCGTGATTGATTGATTCCTGCGATTGTTGGATACTTTATGATGAATAGTTGTGGTCCTAAAGTGATAAATTTGCATCTCTAGGTATTTACGGACTTAGATGGTCCGTCTTGGTATATTGACTTAATCCCAATTTAAATTTCAGCATTACCGTGTCATCGTATGTGGTGACATTAAGATTGAGGTTACCTTGTGGGGGTAATATTGCTTTTACTAGAAATTTAGGAATTATTTGGTATATTTGCAGTGTTGAATTTTGATTGCAAGTTGGTAATTGATTATGTACTGTAACTGTTGATTTGTCTCTGTGTGAGATTGTTTTGCGTGGAAATTTGAATTGTGTTGGCATACATACGTGTTGCATTGATTATTCCGTTAGAACACCNTGCATTGATTATTCTGTTAGAATACCTAGACTTGACTCGTTCGAACATTCCTTTGATACTGAGATCTTGAGTCTCACCAAACCCTGAGAATCTAAAACGGTATATACTGCAACCTTATGATTATTTTGTGTAATCTATTTGTGCCCTTTAGTTGTTCTGTTTTTCCAAAATGTTTTCACATTTCGAAATTGAAATTTTCAATGGGAAATGAGACTTTTCAATTTGGCAATAAAGATGAAAAGGATTTTAGTTCTGTAAAATGTTTCAAAAGCCATAGATGGCAAATTTCGTACAAATTTGACAGAAGCACAAAAAGAAGAATATGATAAACTCGCTTATACTTCAATTATTTTACACCTATTTGACATTATTTTGAGAAAAGTTGGAAAACTTAATTCTATAAAAGAACTTTGACAAAAGTTGGAAGGCTTATATTTGCTTTAGTTTACTCATAATAAGTTGTATTAACTTGAAGGATTTTTCAATTTTAAAATGGATCCTTCAAAAAATTTTGATGACAATTTGGATATTCTCAACAAATTTGTTCAAGATATTGTTAATTGTGATGAAAAGGTTTCTGAATCGTATAAAGTCATTATTTTGCTTTATTCTATACCCGATTCCTATAGAGAGGTTAAGAATACAATTAAGTATGATAGGGATACTTTGACACTCGAGATTGTCATAAATTTCCTTAGGAGTAAGGAGATGAAGATTAAGGCTGAAAAAGATGATAAGATGAGTGGTGAATTATATATGATGAGAAGTTGAATAAAGTTTAAACAAATGAATTTGGTTAG